ATGGGAAATAAGATCCCTAGATGACATCACAGGCAAAGCAGGATATAAATAAAATAAATAAAATGTGTATTTTTGTACAGTTAAATTGATTGTGGCTTTCTCCTATGTATCAGTGCTATTGACATCATCATCATCATGAAGCCTTGACTTCCAGGTATGGTTTTCATTCCTTCCAAATGGCACAAAGCTGGAAAACATTCATTAGGGAGAAAGGCAATTCGTTTATGGTATGGCAATTGAGCACAGTCTATTCTTGTCCTGATTGATGGCCATCCTGATTCTGTGTGCAAGAAGGCTGCAGGGGCTGTGCGAGGAAGGCAATAAAGTTTGCAAAAGAAATTGTTCTGTACTATTTCCAAAACATTTATGGTAGTGCTGTCAGTCCCCCAAATTTCAGCCCCATAAAGCATTTGTGCGATCACTTTACGATAATAAAATTTCAGGGTAGGTTCAATCAGCTGCCTACCTTTGTTACAATAAAACTTCATTAACACTTCAATGGTTTTCTGTGCTTTCAATTTTACTGCCATCCTATGCTCTTTCCATGAGAGCAACTTGTTAAAAGGGATGCCCAAAAATCTAAAGGAGTGAATTTGTTCAATAACATGTTGGTCTAGATGCCACCTATACTTCGATCTATGAATACCAAAAACCATGTTCTTTGTTTTGGAGTAATTTATCGACAAGCCTTTATGTTTCCAGTAAGTACTGAATGCCTCTTCAAGCCCTAACAGGAGAGAGAAATTAATACTAAATCACCTGCATACATCAAAATAAAGGTTTTTTTTTTCTGTTCTGCATGTAACCATTACATTTCTGATCTGAATATCATCTTTACTCTGGATAAAAGACAATTAAGGAACTAGTTATTTCGGACAGGATCCACAAAAGACCTGCAATTAATTTAAAAACTAAATTCTCTGTGGTTTCCTCTTTTGAAAACAGAACATTACAGAGCTAGATATCTGTCCAGATTGAGACCATCCTCTTTAAGAAACACCTTTACTCAGTTGCAGTTTCAAGTTAAACCAACCGCAGTTTTGGATGGGCAATATAACAAGGTCCCTCTTGTAGGCAGATTATGTATTTGTGGTTTATATCAAGCTGAAGACTGTGTTCATCATGTATTAATCTGTCCTCTATCTACTGACCCCAGAGAGAGAGTCTTGAAAGCCCTGCTATCATATGGATACAGGAATGCCTTGGCAGAAACAGTCCTTTTTTGTTTGTGTGATAGTAATTGTTATGTGACAAATGAAGTTGCTTTGTTTGCTTTGGCATCAAAAGAGATCAGGAAGAGAGAATTAGCCAAAATTGCTATAAACTGCATTGGAGATTCAGAGTTAAAGATGAATTTGCAAACAGGCAAGCTGCTTATCTGTGAGCATATGTGGCATGGATTAGCATTTGGGATGCTACCTGGAAGTGTTGCTGAAGGAGTTGGTCCTGCCTCCAGCAGGGTATGCACACAGAAGCCTTGTCCTGTCACTTATGAGCAGACTTGAGATGGTAAAAATCACAACTGGTCTGGCCACAGGTGTTCTAAAGTGCTACCTGAGTCCAAGCCTGGGTAGCACTCTGCATAAGCCTGTCCCATCTTTTTCCCAACAACTCGAACCAATCAGAGCAAAATGTCCCAGGACAGGGCAGGCATTTGCCTCGCTCCCCAGGCCCCATCCCATCCCATGAACTCCCTGATGCTTTTTCTCCTGGTGGAGCTTCAAGACTGCAAATGAACCCACCTAGGGGTGGGGGAAGAAGGTGCAGAAACCAGAGAAGATGGAGGGGCCCAGGGTTAAAAGACAGCAGGCAGGAGAGGCTGGGCACCCCGACCTGCCTTTTGCTGGCTGGAAATTGCCCCCTGTGCTGCCGCTGTCCCCTGCGCTGCAGTCCTGATCCCAGCAGTCAGCGCAGCAAGGAAGGGAGGGTCAGTCCGAATCAGGGGGCCTTTCCAGGACACTCTTTCTTACATTGGATGTGCCAACACCACAATCTCATGTGGTATAATTAGGGAACTCTGGGACTTGTAAGCCAAGGGAAGGTCTGGTGCTTTTGAAGACCAAAGCATCAAAGTCTCCCAGTGTGACTGATGCTACAGTTCTTCTGGTAAAGTCTGGACAGCTGCACTGGCCTGAACTGACACAGTTGGGCGCTTTGCTGGGCAAAGGTATTCTGGCATTGAAAAACCAAGGCAAATGGGTGGCAGCTCCACTGCTCTGCAGCTGGGCCTTTACAAAGTGAGGCTGCACCATTCAGACCCCAGTTTCTGCTTTCATCTGGCCTCTGCTGCCTCCACGGGGCCATTTGATGCACAGCATCATTGTGCAGGTGGGCCCAAAAGTCAACCGTACTCTGGCTCAAATTTCAGTCCAAGGCAATGCTGCTAAATGTTGTTATAATTCCGATGAGCTCCTTAGGGGGTCGCTTCCCTTCTTCCCTGATTGTCAGGCTTTGGTCAGTATCGGTCAAGTGTACTCCATTCATTTTCAGGTGTGAGATAGCCCCATTTATGGTCTCATTCATCATGGTGCTCACCACTGAGGGTTTCCCTGCAAAAATTTGCTAGAGTACATTCATTTCATTCACTCTACATAATGGAGCCATTGCAGCTCTGAATCTACATCACCACTGACTTCAGTGCATGTGTGTTTTCCTCTATTCCATTCTGAAGTCTTGGTTGAACTGTGGAACCTATTCTCTCCCGCAAAGGCCTCCATTTCAATCAGGGTTCGGGCCTGGATCTCTTGGTGGCTTTCAACAGCATTAGCCATGGTATCCTTCTGGGGCAACTGTCTGAGCTGGGAGTCAGGGCACTGCATCGGAGTGGTCCCACTCCTATTTGGAGGGCTGTTTCCAGAAGGTGGTGCTTGAGGAATATTGTTCATCCCGGTGGATTCTCCAGCATGGAGTTCCTCGGGGGTATATTCTGTCCCCCATGCTGTTCAGCATCTGCATGAAACTGCTGGGGCCATGCAGAATTTTGAAGTATGTTGCCATCAGTTTGCTCAAGGCACTCAGCTCTAATTCTCCGTTTCATCAGCAGCAGGTGAGGCTGTGGATATGCTAAACCACAGTCTGGCTGCAGCAGTGTACTGGACAGGAGCTAACTAACTGAAGTTTGGTTCAGACAAGACTGAGATGCTGTTGGTGGGTGGTTCCTTTGACCGGATGGAAAGTGTCCAACCTGTTCTAGATGGGGCTGCAGTCCCCCTGAAGGAGCAAGTTCATGGCTTGGGCATGTTCCTGGATCCATCTTTGTCACTCAAGGCCCAGGTGGCATCTGCTGGCTTTGGCTGGTGGCCCAGCTGTGCCCATACCTGGACAGTGATAACCTAGCTTCAGTAATCTCTAAATTCGATCACTGCAATACACTCTACTTGGGGCTATCGTTGAAGACAGTTCAGAAGCAGCAGCTTGTGCGTAATGCAGCAGCCAGATTAATAACCTGGAACTGTATGTCTGAACACATAAGACTGGTTCTGGCAAGCTTGAATTGCCTGCCTGTATCCCCCCATCTATGGAATAACCTCCCCTCTGTGGCCCAGCTGTTGCTGAATCTCTCATCTTTTTGGTGCCAGGTTCAGATGGTGCTCTGTTCTGAGGCTGTTCAGGATTTGCTCAGCCACCCAGGGGCTTAAGGGGGATTACCAAATGTTGCAGAGTCACTCTTTTTTATTATTCTTTGTGTTGTTTGTTTTTATCTTTTGTTTTAGCTGTTTTTGGCAGTTTCAAACTTTTTAATTTTTAATTTTTGACATTTTAATTGTATTTTTATTATTTATTTTGATAGATTGTGTCAACCTTTTACAGAACTTCAGCTGTGGGGGTCAGTATAAATTGTAATAACATAATGATAGTAATAACAACAAAAACAAAAAAAAAAGCTTCACCTGCGCAAGAGGACTTGAGAATACTTTTCTTGCATAGTAACTTTGGTTTGGATTTGATATAACTACATGAGTCTAAAAATCCATATATGGTGCACCAAGAAAATACATAAAATGGCATAGTTTTGCATTAAAATCAAAGCATACCAAACCAAACCAAGCCAAAATGGTTCCCTGCCTGGGACAGCCTAGCATTTCAGGAAAAGGCTGCACATAGTACACTGGGACACTTTTCAGCCAAAGAGTGGGATAAAGACATTTGAAACAAACCAAGAGGTGAGTCCTCATTTGCAGCGGTAGTCCAAACCATCTACTGCCAGTCTTCAAGTTTGTTCTGTGTAACATAAAAGCCTGACTATGGCTATGGCTATTTCTGAAAGGTTCCCTGGCGAAGGTTTAAAAAAAGGTTGCAGGGGATCATTTTCCCTGCAAATTTAATCTGCACTGGCTTCTAGTCAGTTTCCAGGTCCAATTAGAAGTGATACTATTAACCTTTCACCACCTAAACGTAGAGGAGTGGAAGGTGTGGCACTCCAGATGTTAGTGGACTACAACCTCCATCAGCCTTAGCAAACATAGCCAACACTGGGAGAGGGCAGGAGTTGTGGCCCGAACACATATTTATTTATTTTATTTATTTTTCGATTTGTATCCTGCCTTTTTCCTACAAAGGGCTCAAGGCAGCTTACATCATTCTCCTCCTCCATCTTATCCCCACAACAACAACCCTGTGAGGTAGGTTGGGCTGAGCGTCTGTGACTGGCCCAAAGTCACCCAGTTGGCTCCATGGCTGAGCGGGGACTAGAACCCAGATCACCTGAGTCCAATCCCATGCTCTTAACCACTACACCACACTGGCTCTCCCATATGACCCCATCACTGATTCTCACAGCACTCCACGGTCTCTAACTGCTTGATTTTATCCTCCCATTCTTTGTTAATCATAGTATAATGTTTTAGATTAATGTGGACTACCTAACAGTGGATTTTTTTTTGTATGGCTGGTTATCCACATAATATCACCCCTTTCCTAAATGAATAATTTGAGTTTAACCATTGTGTCCACACATAAAAATTTCCGCATCTAAGTAAGATTCTTGTGCATCCTTTCAGCCCAGGTTGGCTGCAGTCCAATTTAAAATTAAGCACATATTTTGCCATTAATCTTAGATAAACCTTCATGTCCTTCTGTAATAAGTTGCTTGGCATAGTAAATGTATGTGCCATGTAACAAGCAAGAAAAAATAATTCATTTAAAAAAAAACTCAAGAGTATAAGCTTCTTGGACTGAATTTTTAAAAGGCCAGTTGCATAGTATCTTCCAATCTGAAAGCACATGTGTTTATCCAATGGATTTATTTAAATGTTTATATTCTACCCTTCCTTTAAAGAAAACCTCATGGTGGCTAACAATGATAAGTTAAAACAAATTCCTAAAAAAATACTAAGAGTGCCATCCCAACCCCCTGATGTTGATGGCTGGAGTGGATTAGGATCCCATGTGGGTGACAGGATGGTGGAAAGCTATCCCCAGAATCTGCTGGTAGAAAGTCCAAAATGGGGTATTCTGAGATAGGAAGGAAAGAACAGGCTTTGCCTGGAGCAAACCCAACTCAGGGTTGTCAGCTGGGGCTGCTGTGGCAGAAACATAGCAGAACAAAATGCTCTCTCCACTTCCTGCCCCACTGGGCATGCGCAGCCCATTCACTGCTTCATTCTTCCCCAGTGGATCTGCTGCTGGATCGCTAAAGTACGTAGCTCCATTCCTCCCCAGCTTCACTTTCGGTTCCTGTGCAGCTTTCTAAAGCGACAGAATACATGTGTGCGCGCGCGCGCGCGCGCACACACACACACACACACACACACACAGAGCAGTTAAAATGGTTGGGCATCTTCTACCAATAAAAACAGTTCAGTACAAAATCCATCCATATATGATCTTACATGTCATTCCAAAGCCTTCTAAACAAGAAGATTTTATTTCAAAGCCTGGGCACATCAACCAAAAAGACCTGCTCCCTGGGAGAGGCGCATGAGGGTGTCTAACAACTTAGCAAACTGAAACAAAAATAATTGCACAATTTTAAATGCTGCAGTGCGAATCTATGCAGAACTAAACCTTCAAAAATTCAGTAAGACTTCCTCCTACCCTTAGCCTTTGTTGATATGGTTGTGATCAACCCTTTGTTGTAGGTAAGCTCTTACTGCATTTATAATAGCTAGGCCAAGGTGGGATATATGACCTTCTTCCCATTTTATCAGCATGGAACTATGTGCATTAAGTTAGGCTCAGGGGTAGTAAACAGCTCACAGACTTCCTGTAAGTCTCCTGGCTGAATGGGGATTGGATTTCTAGTCTCCCCAGTCCACTATGTAGACCACTAGCCTACATGGGTTTTTGATGCATCACATAATCTCTGATGAACGTTTGCACTTGGGAAGGTGCCCCATCATTCCTTCTGAAGCCTACTAATCGTGAGGGATTTGTTTGGGGGGTGTGTCAAGATATTCTTCCTTTCATCATCAAGGTTCTCCCAAGAAACAGATATCTAACAAATTCATCATAAAAACATGAGTTTGGAGCCAAAGAGCTACTTTTGGCATGCCTGGTGGGACCTCAGCTCACCAGAAGACTGTGTGATTATCCCATGCTGTGCCAAGGGCTGCAAAGTGGACCATGGCCCTTCAAACTGCAGGTGCAGGATACTACCTCTGAATTTTCCTTTGTCCAAAACAAATCCCTGCAGGTGGAAATACTAACATGTCAGGGAGAAGGGCTCTAGCTCAGTCTGTTTCAGCTAGTACCACTTGCAGGGGAATATGTCTGCAAAGAATTATTCAAAAGTATAAAAAGGATTCCTCACGTGGACTCTGAAGTAGTACGGGCCATTCTTTCCTCTTAGGGTCATGCCGCCACATTCTGTTGCATAAAGGCCAAAGTTATCTTGCTTGTGCGTCATGTAGCCGTGCTGTTGCCATGTGCCATCTAGTCATCTTCAAGTTAGGATGACCTTATGAATGAAGCCCCCCACCCCTCATGCCTGTCCTTGACAACCCTTCCCAGCTCTTGTAAACTCAAGCCTGTGGGCGGGGGGGGGGGGGTCCCAACCAGCTCATAGTTGATCTTCCCTCCCTTTTCCTGCCTTCAACTTTTCCTAACAATTTGTTTATTTAATTATTATATTTATATCCCACCCATTTTCCTTTCAAAGAGCTCAAGATGGCGACCTACTTCTCCTCCTCCTCCTAATCTTACCCTCACAACAACCCTGTGATGCAGGCCGGGCTGAGAGTTTGTGACTGGCCCAAAGTCAGCTAGTGAGCTCCATGGCTGAGTGTGGACTGGGACCCAGAGTGCCTGAGTCCCGGTCCAGCACTCTTAACCGCTAGACCACCCTGTCTATCCAGGAAGTCGTGCCTTCTGATGTGCCCAAAGTACAACAGCTTCACTTTCTCATTTTTGCCTCCAGGGAACATTCTGGCTTGATTTGATGTCAGACCCACAGATTCATCTTTCAGTTGCTCCAGGGTAGTCATGATTGTTGTTTTCTTTATGTTCAGCTGCAGTTCTGCTTTTGTGCTGTCTCATTTCCCTTTCATCAGGAGTCATTCCAATTTATGCTTGCTTTTTGCCAATAATATGGTATCATCTGCACATCTTAAATTATTGAACTATCTTCCACCAATTTGCAATCCTGTTCTTCTGATCCTAATCTAGCTTTCCTTATGTGCCCTGCATAGTGCAGTTATGGAACATTTTCTTATTGTATAGGTACCTGTGGCCCCAATTCAGATGGAGATCACAGTGCTTGTGGGGCATGAACTGGGAAACTGTAATTAAATCTATGTATTAATTTATTAGATTTTTATCCTGCTTTTTTTTCTTACAAGAACTCCACTCAAATTTGTTGTAAAGTACCTAGAAAATCTGAAATAGACTTTTAATTAAAAAGATCAATAAAGGAAAAATAAAGAAGGGAAAACAAAGGCAATTCTATGAAACTGGAATAAGTAATATAACTGAGAGTAAAAGAGAGAGGATAAAGCGAAAATTGCAGACTGCACTTTGGGACACTATTCAAGATGGCTTGACCTGGCTCCCATCTCTGCTGCCGCCAGGATAACGAGCAAGCAGAGGACACATCCACCCACAGTGACTTAAATGCCCTACAACCCTAAAACTCTCTGTGAGTTATGGGTGATTTGGACAAGCATGCTGGGTTTGCACTACATGTCATCCTGTGAGCAGGGCTTGGGTTACAAAATGGGTGCCTATGGACATGTACAAGGTTTACATGCCACCTCACCTTATTAAATAAGTTTCTTATCTAACCTACTGCAGATGAATCTGATCTGATCAACCAGGATGTTGCCTCTTCCCAGTTGGGGTCCAAACTGTAGCTTATTTATTTTGCCCCACAAAACTTAGTGGGAAGCCCTGATAACCAATCACACCACTATCTGCATAGCCATGAGCAAATGTGCTGTTCAGATGTGAAAAGCACTGCTTGTTTTATCGTTTCATGCAAAATGGAATGGGGAGGATGTCTACGAGGGATGAGGATATGTTTGCTGTTCCAGCATTATCTATCCTGCATACTGAAACCTCCACCTCGGAAGAGATTCACTTGTAAATACAGAACATTTGCAAAGCATTCAATAGCTGATACAAACTGCTTGTCTAAATTTGAACAACAGTTATTTCATAGGTTACATCAGTATTTCCATATTTCCATTCCTCTTCAAACAGTGATTTTAAAAATAAATATTTTAAGGAAAACTGCAATTTAAGTACCTTTGTGGTTTTTTCCGGCTTGCAGAACATAATCAAAATAACAGCCACAAAGCAGTCAAACTAATTTTGTTTTACAGCTAATGATGGAGCTATAACCCAGATTTTCTCTGGCTATTGCATTTGGCAGAAAGAGTTATGAAACTTCGTGCCGTTCTACATTTTGTTGAGCTTGCAATCTTGGTTGAAGGGGAGAGCAAATTCTCAGGTGCTAAACGTCAAATTGCTGATTGGAACAGATGCTGGAGTGAGCTGAGTAAGCAAGACTTTCAAGGATGGCATTTTTTCCCCAGAACTTCATCTGAGCTGGTCAAGGGCTTAATATTATGCAGTGTTTTTGTCTTGTTTAATTGAATGGACATTCTGAGAGCCACTATTGTGTTATCATTGCTGTTTTAATCTCTGTGGAAGAGCACAAACCAGTAGCATGGTCTAACTAGCTCTCCCTTGAGCAGACGCATAGGTTTCTTACTGTGTTCCAGGATATTTTGGGATTCTTTGGAAGATTGGCATTGTAGCAGGTGAGGTGGCATGTTAGTGCAAAGGCTAGTCGTGGTGGACAAGCTTCCCTGAAGGACAGCTTTTGCCCAACACTATGGAACTTCCAGTTTAAAAGAAATGCAAGACTCGGGATAATACCAGCTGTGTTCCACATCTGACTTAGATCTAGCAAGCCTGGCCAGTATCCCACCCAAATGGAGGGTGTACCTCATACCATGCCCAGAACCCTTTCCTGTGCTTAAAGGCTTAGGATTTCTCTAAAAGCGTAATGCTTAAGAAAGGGTTTCCTGAAGGTGGGAAGTCTGGAAACCACTAGTAGCAATTCTTACACTGTGTCACTTCTCTGCCTCCACATGGAAGCCCACCCTGTACAGCATGATGGTCTGAGGGTGTATGATATTCTCACATTATCAGTTAAGCAGGTCTCTGATTGGTTTGCACCTGAGTAGATGTCTGCAGTAACAAAATCTAGTATAAACGGATATAACAAAGTAAATAAAGAACAGGTAACTTTCCCATGCCTATTTGAGCAATGGAACGTCAACATCTTACAGCATCACTCCTTGTCACAATCATATCAACAAATCCCAGGTTGAAGATCAATGGTTATGTACCTTCTAAGGATAATTTATTGTGTGAACAGCTTTTCTTCTGGTGTGTTAACAGCTGCATTGATGGAACACAGCCTCATAAAATCAAATATCATTATTCAAAAGCAGTCTAAAGCATGGATTCCTATAAAGCTGCTTTACATGGTATCAGGCCAGAGGTCCAGCTCACCCAGAGTACTCCAACTGATGGCAACTCTCCCCCAGAGCGTTTTTG